GCTCTGAATTTTAAATTACTTTATTTTTACCACTTACATTATACAATGACAGGTAAATTGGTTTCCTTCTTTCCTTTTTTCACTTTAATCTTATTTACAATTACGTTATTATCTTGTTTTTTTAAGAATAGATATATAATAAAGCGTAAAGCGTAATTTCATTTAGGGTAATCACTTCTTATCATATATTCACTAATTCACTAATTTTATGAAATTTCATATGAAATATAATTTTTTTATTTCATATATGTTTTAAATAGTTTGATTATTTTCTAATACTAATTTTTCTAAACATTTGTGACCGATAAACGGAAGAAAATAAATATATTGCCAGTTTAAAATTAATTCAAGTAAGATACTATTAGGCACAGCTTAGACTACGAAAGTGTTCCTGTAAAAAATGAAGAAAAAAAAACATGTTGAATGCTAATAATTTGGCCTCATAATTTCTTCTAATCTCTTCTAAATCAAGAGAAGACTACAAAATGAGAAAAAATGTAAAAAACAATTTTCATAACCTGCCGAGGGTCGTTCATTACACGAATAAGGCGACCGCCTGACCGACGGCTTGTCGGCAGCCGAAGTAATAAAGTTAAAGTATTTAAATAAAACCGAATAAGTTATAATGAGTCATAAATAAACGTAAGGATATAAAGATAAGGTTTAAGATTTTTTAATTTGCTCCTTTCAGCGATGCATTTAAATGATTTAACTTTGTTAAAAATAAAGTGTATTCATTTCAAGATATTATTTTAATCTGATTTTTATTCTAACTGCGAAAGTTAATTTACAATTTTTGTGAAAAATGTTGGTTAATAGTAATATTTGGAAACCTATTACTTTATTTTTTGTCTTATTCTAGTAGCATATTTTGATGAAAAACCTTTTTTATTTTATAAAATAGTTTAATAATTTAAAGTAACTTAGTTTAAAAACTGATATAAAATTTTTATTTTTTATTACAAATACGAAAATTAGATGCATAGGTATTACGATATGCTAAAAAAATGATTCATCACATATTTTTTTAACATTTATTTTCCTCCCTGGTTAAATTTTGAGCCAATATTTAAGCCAATATATTTGTCACAACTTTTCTTTTCTGCATCCGATTATTTTATTTAATTTAAAATACAAAGAGTAAAAATTTAAAAAATAATAAAATACACGAAGAAAAAGCAAGTATGCATTGATTGCCAATTCGACCCGTAACATAATTATGCATTATTATTATGCATAATTATTTAATTTGAAGCACAAATGGATAGAATATAAACACAGCCCCTATCAAAGGAAATTAGCGTTTTTTAACGAAATTATTTCTTGCGAGTGAATTTCAGGGCCATATGCACTCTTTTATTTTTGGTTAATTTTTAAAAAGAAATACTCTGGTTTCCAACGAAGTCGACCTACTTCATGAAAAGTTTAATTTTATGAACGAATTTCTTTTAACACCGAGTTTAAAATTGTCTTTTTTGGATTCCATAATTTTAAGAAATTTTAATGAGATTCAGCTGAAGGAATATGTTCTATCCAGTGCATTCTATTAGAGAAAAAATGTTTTTAGGAACAATTTCGATGTTTAATTTCGATATTTAAATTAGCACTGTAATTTTGCTAAAAATAATAAACAGTTGGCACCTCATTAATGGAATTTCAAATTCAAAACTTCCCACATTCTTTACTAACTTCACCTTTTTGTTTCATCAAAAAAATGTATCGAATACTCAGTTTAAGATAGAATATTTATTGTCTTATTTTTTTCAGCAGAATTTCACAGTTTCATCTGAATTTTATAATAAATCAAATATTTACTACGGATTAGAGGGTGGAACGATTTTTCTACCATGTGACAAATATAAATTTCTGTAATTATTAAAAAGAATAATTTTTTAATCAAGTATAATTTATTATTGAATAAAGAAAAAAGCGAAAAATGTTAAAGTTATTTTCGAAATATTTACCAATTTTTCGAAAAGTGTTAATAATCAGATCACCTTATTCAAAGTAAAAATAATCTTTATATCTGGATAATATTAATTCAGATAACTAATATTTAGTTTTAAAAAAAAACGAAAAACAATTATTGATATACATTGTTTTAAAAAATAGGGCATATTTTTGTAGAATTTCAGATTGGTTCACTGAAATAATACAAGAGACAAGTTTTTTTTTTTTTTTTCACTTTATGTAAATTCTCCACGTTAGAAGTACATAAATTCCAAAAAAAATATTATTTTGTATTTTCTTAAAGCCTTGTATGTTGAAAAATAAAATTATCAACACTTTAAAAATTTGAATTAAAAGTAAAAACCTATAATTTCGTTATAAGAAATAGATGATCGCGTAAAAAAACGAAAATTTAAAAAAAAATTTTTTTTGAATGTAACCCAAAAACTTAATTTAAGGAAAAATCTGTAAAAGCGCACCATAAGATGGAAAAAAAAGAAATACGAAATTTACCTTTTTTCAATAAAATGGTTTTTTGTTGTAAATTAACAAAGTGTAACATTTTAGGAACGAGCGTTGCTTAAAATATATTTTCTCAAAGCTTTCTTCGGAATAATATTTAATCCTTTTCTCTGAAAAAATATTTTTATATTCTATACGAATATTGCATATTTTAAACAGAAAAGTAGATCCAGAAGTACAGTTAATGTGAGTAGCGAATGTTTCCAAAAAATTAGCCAAAATAACTGAAGATATATTCTAAGACAGGTGTTATTTCATAGACCATTTTTGATTTTTAGAAAAAAATATATACATTTTTTGAACTTAATTTTAAGCAAATAAATCAGAAATGCAAACTAAGTCTATTTCAAACTCTATTAGATATTACTCAAGTAGAGAAGTCAAAACAAACTTGAATAGAAAATAAGCGAGTTTTTTTTTTTCTTTCATGAAATGACAGTTTTTATTGCAAATAAGAAACTTAAGATAAAATTATCATATTTTTAAAAATAAGTAGTCAAGTTAACTTTTTTAATTTTTATTTATTACATTAAACAATTGCCACATTAAAAAATTTATTTAAATGTGAAATTAAAAATTTATTTTTTCTTTAAGTCGGAAATTTATTATATTCTTAAAAATAACGTTATTCTGAGAATTTTTTATTATGTTACATTTTTCCTGTCTTGAAATTATTTAATTTGAATTATGAACCATCTCTAATTTAAGAAACAATTTCACTCTGGCATGAAATAATCTTTTATATTAAGTAATTTGATTTCATATGATTTCTGATTATTTTTTCATCTGAAATTTATTGCTTGAGAGTAAGCTTTTTAGCAAAAAGAATCTCTAATAAAACAATAGGCGCAGAAACTGATGTAAACACATTCGTTGAAAGAAACTTGGTTAATTTTATTGCATTTTTGAACTAATTTGATATTATGCTGGTATTTGTTTTATGCAATCAACATAACATGTTTTGTTTAATATATTAAAAGAAAGAGCAAAGTTTCACAAACTTTTAATCTATTCATATTTTGAATAGGTTTGTAACAAAAAAAATAAAAACGTTTAATTTTAGGAAAGTTTTTTAAAATTTCAATTGAAAGTTCCTTATATTGCAATTAAAATATTTAATGACGAACTATTTTTATATTTTAGTAAATTTATTTCAACTTTTTATAGCTACAAGCATTAAACATTATTTTATCGATGAATTTATTGAATGAAATTTCACAAATAAAAGATTTCTTGGGTAGAAAACGTAAATAAAATTTGTTGTAATACAACTTATTTTTAATAATAACACAATGTGAAATAAACTTTAATAAATTTAAAGTTTCAAACAAAACAGGTTTTAAATTATTCAAAAAAGTAATTCTAATTATGTATAAAGCAATGAATATTTCATTTTGTTGTAAATTTGAACTCAGTTGTGGTTTGTAACAATTAGAAAGGAAAATATTCATGAGATTTTGTTCATTATCTAAATTCTTTGAAATATTTTTTTAGATAAAATACTTAAAAAAATTAATAACCAATTTGAAACATAACACCACATCAACCTAAGTAATAATAAAGTATTAAGAATAAATCATTACCAAATGTTCAAAGTTACATTGCTTAAGTAAGCATTGTTTGAGGTACGCAATTGAAAAACAGTTGAATTCATATTTCTAAGCATAAATAAAAAGTTCTAATTTTTCAAAAGTTTTGCAGAATAATGTAGAAACAATATCAATTTATATCAATAATTAAAATAATATAGGTAAAAATGTTAAAAGATTTGCATCAATTTTTACTTAGAACAGCAGAAATTGTTTTAAATTTATATTTCAACGAATTTACGAGGGCGGGGGGATGAATAAGATTTATTTTTAGAGCTTTTATTATAAGAATCACTAACAGTTAAAAATAATTTAGGAAAAATTAATTTTTCTGTGAGATTAATTGAAATCACTTTCAAAATAATATATATTGGGAGTTTGAAAATAGGAAATTCAAAAAATATCATGTATAGAAAAAATTAAGTACGAACCATAACCTTAAATCCCAGAAAAATTTAATTAATTCTTTATGTTCCTAAAACTACATTTATTTATCAGTAATTCAGTATTAATAAGAAATAATTAAATGAAATAATATCGAATGAACTTTGAGCGAACTTGACAAAGAAACGTTAGTGGAAAAAAAATTTATAGAGAACTCTAACAGTAAAAATGATGTATGAGTCTTTACTTAAAGCTTCACAAAATGTTTTTAATTATAAGTAATTTATTATTTATAAAAAAAAATAATTAAACGAAATAAGAACATAATATTATCTAAAAACGAAGTTGATTAAGATATATTAGCAGAGCCTTTTCAGTAAGAGCCATTAACAGGTAAAAATAAACAAAATAAAAACTATTTTTTTGTGAGATTATTATTAATGGATCCTAATCCGAAGATTTCATTTTAAGCCCGCTTTGAAGAACGAACTAAAGGAGGTGTGTCCCAAATTTTGGCCAATCTGAGGGCCGCTCTAAGCCAAGGTCGTAGGCGGCCGGAATCAAAAGTTGTAAGAGATCATCGAGTGCCGTGTGTTTTTCAGAATGATGTCTTTGAAAACAAACCATCTGGTTATTTGACACGGTGTCAAGCTTGTTCCAATATTCGCATTGACACCCACTCTTCGGAATATTAATTTCTCATCGACAAAGTTGCCAATCAGTGTCAAATCTACTCATTTTATGTTTATATGGACTTTTAATTTAAAGTTTCTTATCAGCCAGATGGTGTAAATTTTTATTAATTGCCGTATCGTGTTCGAATTCCTCGAATTTTGTTTGCGAATTTTGCAACATTTTTTTCGTTGGTGTGAGATAGAGGAAGGTCTGAAATAAGGTATCATGGTGCTTAGAAGTAAGAATCTTATTTTATTTGCTAAATATGAAAGAGGAAAATGTGTCACGTTGAATTTACTAGTTAAGTCACAGATGATAGTTGCAAACATATCATATTAAAAGTATCAATTGATTTACCCATGAAAACTGGAAATTTATCAAGTTGAATTTTTTTATTGATTTACAGATGAAGTGTGCGATTGAAATTGATTGATCTATAGATGAAAGCTGTATTACGTTTAATTTACTAAATGGTTTAAAAATGAAAACAAAAATTGCATCCTATTCAATCGATCAAAACATGAAAATGAACATGGGTACTATTGAAGTCACAGATTGCTTTATATTTAGTGTCTTCCGTTAATATATTATCCAATTGATTTTTAATTTTATTTCGCTGAATCTATTCAAATGATATATTTTATTGCACTTGTATATAATTGATTATCAATTTGATGACGTTGAATTTTGTCAATTGATTTGTAGTTTTATTTCGTGGTATTTAGCCAAAAAACCTGAATAACTTTTGATTTCATCATGAGATTTTTCCTAACTGTATCGATATTCTGCTTGTTGCTGATGTGCACAGAGGGTCGAAGACGTCGCTCTCAGAACTGCAGAGAGAAGATGGGCCAAACAGCAAGAATAATCTTTACAGGAACTGTTGAAAGGCTGTATAAATCGAGAGCTGCCGTTTACAAAGGGGTGATCAAAGTGAAAAGAGTTGTAAAAGGCGATCAGACATTAGCAGATAATACTGTAATAGTTGAAGGATTTGGTGATCCTAATATCTGTCACAGTGATGTCCGAGAGAGGGACACAAGAATATTTCTTGTTAATCAAATGGACAATGGACATTTGAGATTGAATTCCAGTGTAGTAAGGGTTACGGTCTATAATTTAGAAAAGGCTGCAGCAGCTGCTAGTGGTAAGAGATTTATTATTATGTCTATCTTATTTCATTATATTTTATTTATATTACAGAAACGGGTGCTTTTTCACATGTTATAGCTTGTAAAACTTTTTATAGTTTTTCTTATTTCATAGTTTTTTTTTGAAATTTGTAAATAGCCATTAACTATTAAACAGAAAACAGTTTCTATAGCAAAATAATTGATAATGAAACCTATTTATAAAGAACGGGTGTTACAGAAACGGATGTTTTTTCACATATTATAGTTAGTAAAAATTTTTATAGTTCTTTTAAGAAAAAATTTGTAAATAGCAAACTCTAACTACTCAATAGAAAACAGCTATTTATATAGCAAAATAATTAATAATGAAATCCATTTATAACTTTAAATGATTTATTATGTCTGTTAATGACTATAAATAGATTATTTAAATTATGACGCAAATAAACCTGGCAAGCTTGTTACAAAAATATTTTAAATCATTTTTGAAATATTCCTGTAAATGAGAGTGAATTAATTTGCTATTTACTTTATATATTACATTTTGAGTCTTATTCTGTACTTTCTTGAATTTTTATTTTCTACTTTTACTTGATTGTTTCATTTTGCAATTTTTTATTTTGCATTTTTTACCTAATGAGTTTTATTTTCACTACAAATTTTTTTGGTATCGAATTCATATCTTAAAAGATGTATAAAACCACGTGTTTCTTTTATTGATTTTACGATTTTAAAGCGTGTTTCTATTAACTTATATAAGCTGAATATAAGCTTATATAAGTTGAATATAATTATATAATTATCTTTATCTTGAAAGGATGGACTTCTAAAAACATGATTTACTTAATCTGATTGCATAAAGCCACCGGGTAGAGCAATAATTAATAAAAAAGTGAAATTATTTTAGCTTGAGTAGGACGGTACATGTCTTTCAGTTTTGTGCATCATTTCGTAGCGTAGACTAGCTCATATCTATTGATTGGTTACTTTTTTTTTCCATCCCTTACGAAGAACGCGCATTTAGCTTGTCTGAAATGAAACCTAGTTATGTTAAAACCTTAATCCCACTTCTCTGTTTGAAAAGCAGTTCATTTGATTCATAATTTATTGTTACACATTAGAAGCACAACTTAAAATTCTTTGAAAGACTGTGATTCGTTTTCATTTTGTTGTAAACGCGTCGTATTGAGTTATGACTAACGGCGGTCATCAGGAATTTATCTTTAATTTTGATCCGGAAACGAAATCGGCTCAAGAGATTGCTACACAACCACAAGTTTAGATAGGAGAGCAGATCAACAGGTCTAATCAACAGGTCTCCACTCCAAACAATGCTTCGGTTGCGCTCTCAAACAATTCTTCTCAAACATTGCCTAGAACTTTACAGAACAGTCCCTGGACAAATTATTAGACGCGCTATAAGGACAAATTATAGACGCACTATATATTAGGAGGACCGGAAAGTAATGCCGTTTCGTCGCATTAAATATTCGTTTGTCTTAAAACCTATTCATTTTTGTCCAACCATTTCGATTCATTTTCGATTCGGCATTGAATGGTTGTTGCTAACAAGGGTGAATACATTATTGATTGAAAAATAAAATCTTGATCACAAATATCAAATGCACCTAAACGACATTACTTTCCGGTCCACCTAATATTTAAGCGTAATGTTAATGAAATGTTAGATAATGCAAATATTAAATGTTAAATTCACGTAAATTAAAGACGTATTAAAAGTAAATCTAAAGCTATTCCAAAAACGAAATCTAAGTAGCAAAATTTGTAATTTTTCACACCAATCGCATGGAATCATTTGCTTAAAATTGTGTGTTTATAGAACATCAGCTAGAATGAATGGTGGCTTTTGATCTAATTGCAATAGCCACAAAATGCGTGATAATCCTGTCAAATCGAAGGGAAAAAATGTGACTGTTTCTGGCGTGTGCTACCCTGATAGTAATATTCTACAATAGCTGTAATTTAACGATTTTTAAAAGCTAAGTACAGTAAATATTAGATGGCATAATCAAGCAAATCAAAAATAAATTTTTAAGTCAGTTCTAAGAGCGTAAAATATTCCACCTATAAAATAAGCAATTTTTACACAAACCTTACATTATCATTTGTTTATGTATATATGCGTGTATTTAATATGTGAAAATAAGCGAAAATGAATAGCAGAGTAAGTTCTAATAATTATAACAGGCACTATAATGTGTGATTAGCATCTCAAACTGAAAAAAAAAATTAAGAGCTTTTATGTTTGTTTCCCTGATAGTAATATTTTAAAATAATTGTAATCTATATTAACTGTAACTTAAAGCTTTTTCAATATTATTATATGTAGATATTGTAAATATTATATCGCAAATATTAGATTCAAAATATTATATTTTAAATATCGGATGTTATAATCCCAAAATTCAAAAAATATAAAACCAAGAAATTTTTAAAAATATTTACAACGCTATTTTCCCCACGCATGGTGTAATTTTTCCCACCCACCGCATCTAATCTTTTGTTTAAAAACCTGTGTTTAGGATGTGAAAATACGCAAGGATTGATATAATTATAACAGCCATATAATACTTGATTTTTCCCGAAAACTAAAAAAGAATGCCTAATTTTTACATGTTTTAGACTGACAATATATATGATATAAATAATTGTAATGTTTATTAACTGTAAATTAACGATTTTTCAAACTTTAGATATTGAGCCGTGATGGCTCAGAAGATAAACCGTTCGCCTTCCTACGAGGTGAACAAGGTTCGAATCCCAGCAATTTGCTGATCGATATAAATTCCGCATTCGGCTCGCACCGACCACAGTGCTTACGGGAAATATACTCAGTGGTAGACGGATCATGGGTTAGAGTCCCCTTGCCGTTAGGCTAATTGTTGGAGGTTCTTGTGATCTTCCTCGGTTTATAATACGGGTTATATACGGGTTATATACGGTTTATAATACGGTCCAAATACGGGTTAGTTCCATCAAAAAAGTCCTCCACGAAGACACATTTCTCTTAAATGCTTGATCCAGGAGTTCCCTTGTCTTCAAGATTGGGTTCAAAAAATGACAAGGCTGCGGAGTTGAACTTTAGTTGTGGTAAACCCAAAATTGTGTCGGCTGTTCAACGACGGTTATAAAATAAAAATCTTTATCGTAAATATTTGTCATTACCAGAAAAAGCAAAAAAATATTTAGAGTACGAAGAGATTTTTAAAAGGTATATGAAAACGCAATATACCCCAAGCATGAAATTTGTAAGTTTTCACACCAACCCCATAGAACCATTTGTTTAAAAATATGTGTTTAAGATCTGAAAATAAGCAAGGTTGAATGGTGGCATTTGATCTAATTATAATAGCCACATAAATACGTGATTATCTTGTCAAACCTAAAAAAAGGTACCAATTTTTTAGGTGTGTGTGCCCTGATAATGGAATCTTGTTACCGCCCTGTTCTGGGAAATATAGAGGGTCCATTTGCATCTTAACAACTTAATTATGAGTTGTTGGAGACGCTCGTGTTCTGCGCGTGCAAACAACAGAACAAAGAAGAGAGTGGGAAGAAGTTTTACTTGTAAATTACTATAAAAAATCGTGGTATGTTAAATAGCAGAGCGTCACGTCTCTGTGTACTCCGTGACTTCAAGGAAGTTGGGTGATATATTGCATTATTGTACGTTCCGTCTAAAAACTAAGCGGTATGATGGTTAAAAATGTTTCATGGAGTGCTAATTTTGACACATTTTTAAAGTATTATTAAGGTAGATATTTTAGTATTGATATACAGAAAGAAGAATACTTTTGGAAACCTGAAACTATAAATCATTTTTCGCTTGGAGGTCATTTTATCGTAGAGATCAGTTAGCGCTTTTGATTTCCGTTTCCTCGAATTTTATTTTCATTTCTTATATATATAAATTTTGATTGATAGATTGTTTATAAATTCATAATATAAATCGTTTTCGCTGCCATGAGGGGGTTTTAGTTTGATTTTTGATAGTCATTACTCAATTAGTTATAAACTCTTAAGATTTTGGTTAAATTTTTTCTGTAGCTTAAAACTATGAACCGTTTTTTTCTCTCTTTTTTTAAATCTTACAAGTCATTTTTAAGACATGTAGAGTTTTAGGTTATGTTTTCTCTAAGTATTTTATTCTTAATTTTTTGATGATAGATTTTTTGTGAACTAAGAAATTCTTATTTCACCATATAAGCGTTTAAGTAGGTTAAATTTTTAATTTTTGTTTCCCTGACTTCTTTTTGCTCTTAACAAAGTTTTGATAATAAATTCCTGAAGCCGGAAATGAAAAATCATTTCATACCTCCCTCTTTCTACATGAAGATTTAAAGTTAAAATTTTTTATTTTTTTTCAAGATCTTTTTGTTTCTCTACAAATTTTTGAGGAAAAATGTGTTTGAAACCCAAAATTATAACTTTAATTTTAGTTTTTTTTCCTTGAAGTTTGATTTTTAGAATATCTAAAACTCAATTTTTTTTGTTTCCTCGGTGATTTTTGCTCTTATGTCTTCGATAATGGGTTTCTTTTTTGTGTATCCAAAAACTATGACTCACTTTCGTAAAAAAATCTTAACAGCAATTTTGCCGATCTATTTAGAAAAATTAAGGTAGGTATTTTTTTAATTTATTGTTTTAATAGATTCTTGTTATAAATTTTTAGATAGTCTATAAATGGTAAAAGTGACAAAAATTTTATCAGTACAGCACTTTTCAAACATAGGAGCAATAAAGGCTTTGATTTACTATATTGGGAGAAATGACATCTGAACTATTTCAGAACTTAACTCATGTTTTACGAGTAAAACATGGAAACCAATAAAATTACGTTCTTTGTAAGGGTAATTTAATGCAATATATTAGCGGCTTTTAAATTTTTTTTTTTCAATTTCGCTTTTATTTTTGCTTAAACTATTGAAAACCGATTTGGCAATTGTTGAAAATTTTAATTGTTGTTAATACATTTTTAACTGTTCAACAGAGT